TTATTATTATTATTATTATTATTATTATTATTATTATTATTATTATTATTATTATTATTATTATTATTATTATTATTATTATTATTATTATTATTACTACTACTACTACTACTACTACTACTACTACTTTTCTATGTTTTTCAGTGTTACACAGGTAGTCCTCGACTAACAGCAGTTCATTTAGCCACCTCTCAAAGTTACCAAGGCACGGAAAATAGCACGACCGTTTTTCACACTTACGACCGTTGCAGCATCCCCAGGGTCACGTGATCAAAAAATCCAGACACTGGGCAACCGACTCATATTTACGACGGTTGCAGTGTCCCCGGCCTCACGTGATCCGCTTTTGTGACCTTCTGACTTCCCCGTGGAGAAGCCAGATTCGCTTAACGTCCGTGTGATTCATTTAGCAACGGCCGTGAGTCACTGGGCAAGAAAGGTGTTAAAAGGGGGCAAAATGCCCCTTAACACAAGTCTCACTTAGCAACAGACATGGTTGTAAGTTGGGGACTCTCTGTGTACACATTAACCACATATAAGTATGTTTTTATCTTGGTGTTGCGACGTGAACCATTTTCCTGCCGCTCAGCAGACGCGGGTGCAACGAAAGACCACGACTAAACCCAAGATTGTCTTATTTTGCAGAATCCTAAAACTTTGGAAATAGTGAAGCAGCTGATTGCCAAGGGAAACACGGAAGAATTATTAAAATGTTTCGGCTCCCGGATGGAATTTGGCACAGCAGGACTACGAGCGGCTATGGGACCCGGAACCTCACAGATGAATGACCTGACTATTATTCAGACTTCACAGGTATCAGATTGAGCTCTGTGTGCTTAATTAATGTCTGTAGAGATTCTTGGTCCTCCAGGCCTCGGTTGTCCCAAAGTTGTTGTTTTTTTCAGGAGGCAACTGGATTTAATCTTGTTTTTTCTTTGAAGATGTTTCACTTCTCATCCCAGAAGCTTCTTCGGCTCTGACTAGATGGTGGGGAATGGGAGGATTTATACTCCTTGCAGACAGCTGGTCATTTGCCTCCTTTCAGAGAGTCATTGAGGCCACTGGGAGGTTTATCTGTGTCCTCGGTGGTGCTTTTTCAACTGGACTTTCTTGCTTTTCTTTGAAGATGTTTTGCTTCTCACCCAAGAAGTTTCTTCAGCTCTGACTGGATGGTGGGGAGTAGAAGGATTTATATTCCTTGCAGACAGCTGGTCGTTTGCATCTTTTTAGAGAGTTGTTGAGGCCACTTGGAGGTTAACTGTGTCCTCAGGGTCATCTGAGTGGTGCAAATGGGTATGGATGCCTTCTTGGGACCATTGGAAGGACTATGTTGTGCAGGGTCACCTGTGAGGATGGTGAGGATGTAAATAAACCTCTCAGTGGCCTCAACAACTCTCTAAAAGAATGCAAATGACCAGCTTTCTCCTATCCTATCTTATCCTATCCTACTCTACTCTACTCTACTCTATACTCTACTCTACTCTACTCTACTCTACTCTACTCTACTCTACTCTAGTCTATTCTATTCCCATTCTATTCTACTCCCATTCTATTCTATTCCCATTCTATTCCTATATTATTCTATTCTCTATTCTATTCCCATTCTCTATTCTATTCTATTCTATTCTATTCTATTCTATTCTATTCTATTCTATTCTATTCTATTCTCTGTTCTATTCCCATTCTCTATTCTATTCTATTCCCATTCTATTTTACTCTATTCTATTCCTATTCTCTATTCTATTCTATTCTATTCTATTCTATTCTATTCTATTCTATTCCCATTCTCTATTCCAGTGATGGCGAACCTTTTAGATACCGAGTGCCCAAACTGCAACCCAAAATCCACTTACGCATCGTCAGGTGCCGGGTGGGTGTGGCCCATTGGGTGGGGGTGGCCCATTGGGGTGGGGGTGGCCCATTGGGTGGGCGTGGCCGCGGTGGTAACGGCAGACTGAGTGGGACTAAAAAGTTCAATCAATCAATTCCAACTTTGCAAGATCTTTTTTTTTCCCGCGAGAAGTTGAAATTGACTGATTGATTGAACCTTTTTTTTTTTTTTTGCACAAGGCGGCGGAGGCCTAAAGCGAAAAGGTTTTATAAAACCCAGCTGAAGGCCTAGGACTGGGGCGAGGGTGCGCATGCCCACAGAGAGGGCTCTGAGTGCCGCCTCTGGCACCCATGCCATAGGTTCGCCACCACTGCTCTATTCTATTCTATTCTATTCTATTCCCATTCTATTCCCATTCTCTTTTCTATTCTATATTCCAATACCTATTCTATTCTGTTCTGTTCTGTTCTGTTCTGTTCTATTCCCATTCTCTATTCTATTCTATTCTATTCTATTCTATTCTATTCCTTCTCTATTTTATTCTATATTCCAATACCTATTCTATTCTATTCTATTCTATTCTATTCCCATTCTCTATTCTATTCTATTCTATTCCCATTCTCTATTCTCTATTCTCTATTCTATTCTATTCTCCTTCCAATGGGTCGTCTAGGGAAGGTGTGCCACAACTAAGACAGCTTAATAAAACTGCTAAAACCATCTGTTTTGTTCTGCTTGTAGGGATTTTGTAGCTATCTTAAAAAGAACATCAGGCACCTGAAACAAAGAGGCGTGGTTATCGGCTACGATGCGCGAGCCCATCCACCAACTGGTGGTAGCAGCAAAAGGTATCTGTCACAATTCCTGCCCTGCTTGCTTTAAGTTCTTTTTTTTTTGAATCACAAGGAAATACGTATTTTTTTTTTAACCTCACTTCAGTGCAGGGAGTCGTTATTCCTCATTGAAACTAGCCCATCTATTATTTTAAAAACAATTCTAGATAGGTAAGTACAGGTTCCATAAAGAGAAACTCATGAGTGGCAAATATCAGGAAGAACCATGGTGGCGCGGTGGTTAGAATGCGGTATTGCAGGCTAACTCTGCCCACTGCCAGGAATTCGATCCTGACGGGCTCAAAGTTGACTCAGCCTTCTGTCCTTCCCAGGTCGGTAAAAGGAGGACCCTGATTGTTGAGGAGTAAAACGCTGACTCTGTAAACTGCTCAGAGAGGGCTGTAAAGCACTGTAGGGCGGTATATAAGTCTCAGTGCTATTGCTCTAGAGGTCAAGAGAATCAGGTGTAATGATTCAGGCATTGGGTTAGAAACTGGGAACCTGGGAGTTCTAGTTCCGCCTTAGACATAAAAGCTGGCTGGGTGACTTTGGGCCAATCACCAGGAGATGGTGAGTTCTAGTCCCGCCTGAGGCATGAAAGCCATCTGGGTGACTTTGGGCCAATCACCAGGAGATGGTAAGTTCTAGTCCCGCCTCAAGCATGAAAGCCGTCAGGGTGACTTTGGGCCAATCACCAGGAGATGGTGAGTTCTAGTCCCGCCTTAAGCATGAAAGCCATCTGGGTGACTTTGGGCCAATCACCAGGAGATGGTGAGTTCTAGTCCCGCCTTAAGCATGAAAGCTATGTGGGTGACTTTGGGCCAATCACCAGGAGACTGTGAGTTCTAGTCCCACCTCAGGCATGAAAGCCATCTGGGTGACTTTGGGCCAATCACCAGGAGATGGTGAGTTC